GAACATTCGGGGCCAAACGTTGTGCAACTATCTCGTCGGCACGACACGGGGCGCCACATACGTCGCGACAGATGTTATGCGAGGAAAGAAGGATGTCACTGCTCTGGCGCAGGCTTGGCTGCGAAGGTTGAAGTCCCTTGACATCAAGCTCGCCGACATCACCACTTTCGTCACAGACTCTGCCAGTTCGAACGTTTCTGCGATGGAGGTGTTCCAGAAGGATGAGAGTGTCAAGCACATCTTCTGGATTCCTTGTGTGGCACACGTCATGGACCTCATCCTTGAGGACATCGGCAGCATTGACTGGGTGGTGACCCGCATTGCTCAGGCGCGTTTGGTCACAAAGTTTTTCAAGCGTCATAGCCACGCTCGCGAAGTTTTGCAAGCTTTCACGACGAAGGCTCTGCTGCTTCCCGCCGAGACTCGCTTCGGTACGCATGTGATTATGATGCGACGACTTCTTCTGTTGCAATCACATCTTATGCAGGTGGTCGTTGATGATCGATGGAAGGACACTGTTTGGTCAACGAAGAAGATTCGAGACGACGCTGCGGAGGTCACAGCAYGTGTCGGTTGTCCTCAATGGTGGGAGGATATGAGAGCGCTGTGCAAGTTGTTGGATCCCATCATGGACATGCTGCAGATGGTGGACAGCGACACGAGGCAGATTGGCAAGATTCTGCGTCGGTACGACGAGATGATCGCGCGTTGTTTGTCTGCATGTGCCGCTTTGGRGAAGGAYGAGCAGGACGCGCTGCTTGAAGTATTTGAYAGACGCCGTACCATGTTCAAATCGCCTGCTCATGTTGCTGCCATGATGTTGGACCCCGAGTTTCGAGACCGCACGATGCCAGATGACGAGGAGATGCAGCACGGTTTGAAACTCGCTCTGATTCAGTTTGGGTACCCGGAACATTCGGATCAGCACACCGAGGTCCTCACTGCCATTGACAAGTTCCATTCCAGGGAGCCGCCGTTCGACGATGTGGCCATGGACCGGGCGGCGAGGAGCTATACCCATCCAGCATGTTTCTGGGAGTCGAAGGAGAAGAGGTTCTCGCACACGGCCTTCTTCGCTGGCAGGATACTGCGTGTGTGGGCGACTGCGTCGCCTTGCGAGAGAGCTTGGTCCCGTTGGAGTTTCATCCACTCCAAATCTCATAACAGATTGGAGGTGGTGCGGGCCGAGAAGCTCGTGCGATGCCATTGGAACCTTCGSCTCCTCGACAGGCAGGCTATGTCGGACGATGCTCCCAGTGACAGGCCACATCCGTATGAGAGCTGGGTGCACTACTGGCAGCAGGTGGAGGAGGAGGTGCCCACCGACCAGCAGATTGTGGCAGACCGAGGAGCCCGTGTGACGGTCACGAAGGAGGAGTTGACGCAGGCGAGAGAGAGGATGCGCGT